AATGGCAATGAAATTGTTGCTTTAACCAATCAGTTGTCAAGCTGGTGACACCAGGGCCATCTAGAAGGCATACAATAAGGACAGCATTTTCATGTCCTTTGGATAGATAACTGGACTAGTCAGAGCTTGCAAACTGCATCTATAGCGATCTGCACAAGCTAAAATATATTCCTGTACATTTAATAGCTGTTTTTTTAACCAACAATGGCTGACAGAGGAGAAGAAATCGATTTGGTAACAGATAAACTTACAAAGCTATTTTTAAGACATCGTGAGGCCAGACATGTCTGTTTCATTCATCCTCGTCGCCAGAGGGCGCCCTTGCGCAGAAAGTGAGACTCACAGAAATAATAGAACTTATGCCGTTCTAGGAAATACCTCATATAATAGTCTCAAGCATTCAGAAATCATGCAAAAGAAAGTGAAGCAGTTTTACTACGATAAATCCATGCTTAATTTTTGTAAGGGTTGTGATGTCCATGTGTTTTTTGTTGAAGAAATTATAGAGGCTGTAGCATTTCTATCACAAAAAGGTGACCAAAATGTAAAGATTAAGTGGATATTTGAATGAAATGTTTTGTCAATATTAAAAAAGGATTTGATCGTCCTGTAAGTGTAACAGCAGGAATTACCAGGCCTTTGGCTCCCTTTGCAGGCATTTGTAATGGCATGTAGGCCTAATGTAGCCTACATAAATTGTTTATTTTGTATTACAACAGTGTTAATCTGTGACCAATATTTTATATGTAGATTGATTTCTCCTCTCTAAACTATTTCTCAAGCGTGTCTCTCATCACTGCTGCTGCTGCGTGAATATGACGCATCACAACACTATGGAGACCCGAGGAAAAACTGGGATTAAAGTCCAAAACCTGACTTGAAATAACCTAAGAAATCAATCGGGGCTAAAGCGGTTCCATTAACGACAAATTAAATTCACACAATCTCACTAATTTGTGCACGCTTATTCTTAAGAAGATTTTAATGACGATCAAGGATCAAATCGATCCACCATGACAAACAGCTAATATATTTGTGCTGTTTAATGCATTTAAAACATTGTGCATAACTGACATGTCACAGTTATATTCTTCATCTGCTGTCAGGAGTGGGCGAGGCACACGAGATCAACGAGCGCTGCTGCGCGCATGCGTGCTAAACAGAAAGAGCGCAATCGAATAGGAGCGCAATAATTCTGAGTAAAATATACATTTGCTAAAAAAATTGTTTTTGACATTAAATGTCTCTTTTGTAGAATTTTAAACATACATATAAAGTGTATTTTCATGATAGCAGTAACTGTAAGTGGACTATTGTAATAGATAAATCAAATCTAAGCTAGTAGGCTACAGTACTAATTACTAGCTCAAATGAGTTAATGTGTGGTAATGTGTTATAGCAGTTAAAATGTAGTCATTTTCTTTATTATTTATTTTCATTTTTAATTCAGTGATTTTAACTTTTAATTTAGTTATTTTAATGCCTTAAAGAGCAATTTTAGATTGTAATGTTCTACTATCTGTTCTGCAAACTATAGTGAGTGACGTGAGTGAGTGTGAGTGAAGTGACATGTGGCCAAGTATCATTAAAATTATCTTCATTTGTGTTCCAAAAATTAACAAAAGTTTTACAGGTTTGGAACAACATGAGGGTGAGTAATTAACAGAATTTTCTTATAAAATTTTTGGTGAACTCTCTCTTTAAGTTAGATTACTAACCTGTAATTCATGCTAAATTATTTAAGTGTTAAACCTCAATTGGCATGATTCTGCAACAACACTTTCTTGTACAGCATTTGAAAATATAGAACAAAGATTAGTTCACTCATGCTTGACATTTCAATGTGAAACTAAGAAAACTATACAATTTGAAGTAGGAGCATGTGAGACGCAGGGCTCCAAGGGTTTGTACACTCTTAGTATACCTCTCACCATGTGCCAGTTTGAGGAAACTACTGAACACAGCCTCCAGGGTTTTTTCCCCCGTTTATCTGCATGGTTAGTCCAAGTTCCATTTTGAGATTTGAAAAAAGCTAAAATATTATATGGATTTTCGAAGCTGTTCATGGAAGAGTCTTAGAGGAATGTGTAGCCACTTGGTTGCCTTCATCTCAACCCTCATTCAGGATTTCTTCACAGGAAAACTCTAAAAGAAATGGATATGACAAAAAATTTAATTAATGAAACTGAAAAGAGTAACATGCAAGTTGGAGATGGAAAAGCAATCATACAGTATTTTAAGTTCATTAACAGGGCCGCTGCTGGCCAAATGGGTGCCCTAAGCATAATTGTATTATTGTGCCCCCTCCCTCAAATATTATGGAAGTAAAAAAAACCCACTACTATAGGGGTCAAAATTCAAAATAGAACTTCAATAAAATATAAAAGTAAATAAATAAATAGTAATTAAATTGTATTATTTACAAATTACAATTGTGGCTCTAGACAGTTACCTATTGCTATGATTTTATTAATACAGTTGTCAGATTGATTTTATAGTCTCAAGCATTCAGAAATCATGCAAAAGAAAGTGAAGCAGTTTTACTACGATAAATCCATGCTTAATTTTTGTAAGGGTTGTGATGTCCATGTGTTTTTTGTTGAAGAAATTATAGAGGCTGTAGCATTTCTATCACAAAAAGGTGACCAAAATGTAAAGATTAAGTGGATATTTGAATGAAATGTTTTGTCAATATTAAAAAAGGATTTGATCGTCCTGTAAGTGTAACAGCAGGAATTACCAAATATATATATATATATATATATTTATATCTTAATACTTCTTTGTAAATTATTATTTGAAGTAACAAAACCATGATTAAAGGGATAGTTCACCCAAAAATGAAAATTTTATGTTTATCTGCTTACCCCCAGAGTGTCCAAGATGTAGGTGACTTTGTTTCTTCAGTATAACACAAACGGAGATTTTTAACACAAACCGTTGCAGTCTGTCAGTCATACAATCTCAGTGGATGGGAATCACGGCTTTGAGAGTCAAAAAAACATACACAAACAAAACCTAATTAAACCTTGCGGCTCGTGACGATACATTGATGTGTAAAGACACAAAACGATCTGTGCAATTGAATTGTCCTGAGCACGTCCTGCGCTCATAACTGCAACAGGGGAGATGTGGTCATTAACTTCTTGAACAACAGCGATCTTGAACTGCCCATCACCATAAACAAAAAAAGACATTACAAAATTACCATATACATAACGACAAGCAGCTTTGAACACACCTTTGAAAGCAACCAACTTCTTTTCAATATTTAACACTAATGTTAAATATAAACTGTTAATAAAACAGAATACAAACCCATGATAAGAATGCAGGAGTGCTTGAGATTCACAGTACAGCAGTAATTATTTCCTGTCGTTAGAAGGAAAACAAAAGAAACACTATGAATGTCATGAACTGCTGTCCCTTTAAAACATGACGCATATCTGACACACATCCGATCTACTCCCGTCTTTACGGTCAATTATTTTAGACTGTGTTGTTTACAAGGTCATTTTGGCATAATGTCGTGTGCATTTGTCCATTACAGTGTGAAAGGGAACTCAAAGCGCTGTCTCATGTCTGATTTGTCGATGCCTGTGTTCACTCAGCCGCTTCACAGACAGCCTGCTAGTAAAGTTACCGAATTGATTTCTCTTTTGCATGTTATGGTCCTTGTGTGTGTAAAACAAGACAATAAAAGGTCTAAACTTACTTTATTTGGCAGAAAAGGTGATAGTGTTATCCTTGAAGAATTTGCGATGCCAGATCTTCACTTAGTTGTATCTTCATCTCTTTTAAATTAAGAAAGATGTAAATGGTCTCTCCTTTTCTCGACAATTCCTCTGCCAGCTTTTGTTGAAGGCATTAAACTAACGTTAGAACTGCACTTCAGATTTATCACAACTGCTTCTCTTCAGTAATGACAGATGCTTGAAATTATATGATCAGCACTAAACACACCGCATCAACAACAATTAAAAGTTAATGAACAATTTAAAGAGTAACCTCTGTAAGTAAGATGTGTGACGATAAATAAGATAAGTATAAATAAGATGTGTGACAGAAAATGTTGAATGTGACGGCTCCGACATTCATTTGCCAAACAAACCAGACCTTAACTAAATTAATGTTACGTCAACAGTTTATGTGACATTTAACAACAGAATCTATAATTTACCACGGAAGTGTAGAACCAGGTTCCCCAAATTCGAAAGCAGACTTTAAAATGAAACTTTGACCGAGAAGATCGCCGTGAATAATGGCGCCTGCTCTTTCACTGTTTTCGCGCCGATAAACGACCAAGGCTCTCCCACAATGCAAAGTGTAATTAAAAAAATACGGGAAAACACATGTAAAAACCAAAAACTGTGACGATAAATAAGATAAGTATAAATAAGATGTGTGACAGAAAATGTTGAATGTGACGGCTCCGACATTCATTTGCCAAACAAACCAGACCTTAACTAAATTAATGTTACGTCAACAGTTTATGTGACATTTAACAACAGAATCTATAATTTACCACGGAAGTGTAGAACCAGGTTCCCCAAATTCGAAAGCAGACTTTAAAATGAAACTTTGACCGAGAAGATCGCCGTGAATAATGGCGCCTGCTCTTTCACTGTTTTCGTGCCGATAAACGACCAAGGCTCTCCCACAATGCAAAGTGTAATTAAAAAAATACGGGAAAACACATGTAAAAACCAAAAACGGAAAAATTACTTTAAATAGTACGGTATATTGTACTGTTTATTGACAGTTTTTTCTTACAGTGTAGCCTGACAGTTAGCCTGCTCTAGACCAGGTTAGTTTCCCAGCATTAAGTTGCCACAGTGACTAAGCTTGATCTAGGCCTGTGTAAAATTTGCTTTATGGAACCAAATCATCTGACAATGAGACAGACTAATTGAAATAAGCCTGGCTTATTTGGTTAACTTGTGTTATGAAACAGGCCTTGAGTCATTAAAAGTGATCATATTTTCTCCATTGCATCATATTGCAACGGATCGCATTGTGTTGAATCGAATCTAATCGAAATCAGATCGCACTGCATCGTAATAGGGGTAATTCATTCTGCTTCATATGTATCTTTAATGTATCATATCATTGGCTATGCATCGAGATGTGTATCGTATCGGCCTGAGTCATGAGATGCACATCCCTATTATATAGACAAAGGCAAGGAATCCAGCTGTTGCTGTTGCTAAATAAAATGCAGATAAACGTCAATATAATAAACATACAATTGTGACAATATATGGTTTATCTGTGTTTATCAAGCCATCTCAGGTATTTTTATAAAAATAAAGTATATTTACAATGGAATGTTAATTGACATAGCCTTCTATCACTGTATAGAGTACTATAAAATAGCATAATTTGTGCCTCAATCTCTCGACTGATGTAATTAAGTGAATTTGGATTAAAAACATCATTAAATGTTCTCTTAGTTTGACAACAGGTTTCTAAACAGGTTCACACATGCATTGCAAAACTATATAGCATGGTTGCTGCTGTGGTACAATTATTAATTGCACACAGGGCTGTACGTTAACCTTTTTTGCACATAGCACTGGTGCTACAGAGGTTGAAAATTTTGTAGCACAGGCCAAAAAGTTGTAGCACAAGTATAAAACGTCTGCTATCATGTCTGAAAACAAACACAAGTAACGGAGTTAATCACTTAAACAAACATTGATGTTCCAAAGAGCACAAAAAATACAAACCATCATAAAAATGGTTTAAAAAAAAAAACAATCTATTATGTACAAGCTACATTTTTCTTTATTTGCTAAAAATGGAAGAGTGCAGAAACATAACACCTCCTACACCTCAACAAAATATCAAATAAAAAAGAATGGCAGACATTTAGGCCAAAGTGGGCGAAGATAAAAATCCTTGTCATTATTTTATCTTTGTTATGGACCCTTTTCACAAGACTGTGAAGACTCACTTCAATGGTCATCAGCATATTTTTTTTTTAAATGTATGTACATTTATAACACTATATTTTGTATTATATTACCGTTGCATCAAATTACAAAAAAACGAATTAACGCTAATGTGAGGGTGTTTCTAATACAGTGTCTACGGGAGTGACGGTAAATTTGACATTGTTCTCTCTTCTGACTGTCATTACCAGTCTCTCTTTATTTTATTTTATTTTTTTAAAGTTTTTCTTTTGCTATTTGAACAAATGGGAATGCAATAAATAAATAAATAAATAAATAAATAAAAAAAAAATATATATATATATATATATGGTAGTCTCCCATTCACCATTATATATTTACTATAGAAACCCGGAAATGTGAAAAGGGTCTATTAAAAAAATAAGACCGTTTGGTAACCCATATTCTACAAAATATCGTTTTTTTCCCGTTCAGGACAAGAAAGAAATTAATACAGGTTTGAGACAACATGAGTGAGCAAATAATGACAGAAATTAAATTTTTGGGTGAACTATTCCTTTAATGACAAGTGGCAGCATCAGGGCCGTTTCTAGCCAATTTGACGCCCTCGGCGAAATCCCT